GATACAGGGAGTTTGGTGGACGTCATGTTCTACCATTGATTAGGCAGTTGAATTTGAATGTCGAGCTGAAGGAAGTGGTCACGTCTTTGTGTGGTGAGGTGACCTTGTCGATAGTCTTGGGGATAAGTCCAACCCGAAAATGAAAAATGGTGAGATTCGTGGTGGTCGGAGCGGAGTTGTCGTACAATATCATTTTTGAGAGGACAATGCTAAATGCTTTATAGGCAGCTAGTGCTGACATACCATATGACCATTAAGTATCCAGTGGGCGAGAAGGTTAGGGAGGTTGTAAGTGACCAGGTGACGTCGAGGACGTGTTACCAACCAACATTGGGAGTGAATAGACAAAATGCACAGATGTTGAATTCTCCAAATGAAGAGGAATTGGACAGGCCAAGTAGATCCATGTTTAAGAAAGAACGGTCGAAGCTTGACAAAAGGAAACAAAAGGTGGATATCCAGCCAGGAGGAGAGATCAAAGAAATCAAGATGATCGAGGGGAATGAGAAAAAGAAGCTTATAATCAGAAAGGAGTTGGGAGAAAATCTTAGGTCGAAGCTGATGACGTTGATATGAGAGTTCGTAGGTGTTTTTGCCTATATGGCCGCAGAACTTACGTGGATCAACATAAGCATAATCGAGCACATGCGGAACATAGACCTCAGCATCCGACATGTGCGTCAGAAAAAACGATACCATGGAGCTGAGATGGATAAGATGATCGACCGGGAGGTCGACAAGCTACCGAGGGCATGACACGTGGTCGAGATCCAGTTCTCTGAGTGGCTATCTAATATTATGACAGTTCTAAGTCTAAGGGTAAGTGAAGGATGTGCATCGATTTTTGAGATCTTTACAAAGCATGCCCTAAATACCTTTATCCCTTGTCGAGGATCGACCATCTGGTTAACTCCAACGATGGGGTTCGAGCTGCTGAGCTTAATGGATGCCTCACAGGTTTATCACCAAATTCCTTTGGCGAAGGAGGACATGAAGAGAGTTATATTCGTGACGAGTAGAGGGACATACATTTATGTGGTCATACCTTTCAACCTTAAGAATGCAGGTGCGACCTACCGGCAGATGGTCGATAAGATTTTCAATGTAGAATTGGGTCGAATTATAGAGGCCTACGTTGGCGATATACTGGTGAAGAGCAGAGTGAAGGCTGGCCATATTGTATATTTGAGAAAGACATTTACTATTCTAAGGAGGTATGAGATGAAATTGAATCCGGACAATTGCTAGTTCGAGGTGAAATTGGGGAAGTTTCTGGCTTTACGGTGACCACAAAGGAAATTGAGGTGAATCCAGAAAAAATTCATACTGTGTTGGAGATGCGACCACCGCAGAATGTGAAAATGGTACAAATTTTGACTGGCCGAATTGCGGGTTTAGGAATATTCATTTCAAAATTAGTAGAGATGAGCATCCCACCATTCAAAACGTTGAAGAAAAGCTTGAAATTTAAATGGACGAAGAACGCGCATAAGACTTTCGAGGAACTGCAGGTCATTCTGTCCGACCTACCCTTATTGGACAAATCAGTGCAGGGGGAAGACTTGGTGTTGTATGTTTCGATCGGGGCGACAGTTGTGAGATCGGTCCTGTTGAGGGAGGAAAGAATGGTGCAATATCCTATCTACTACGCAAGTCGAGTGATGCAGGGTGTCGATCTGAGGTATTCAGAGATCGAGAAAGGAGCATTGGTTGTGGTCGTAACCGTAAAGAAATTGTGGCCGTATATTTTACCCACAAGGTGAAAGTAAGGTTGAACATACCATTTGGAGAGACCTTGGGTCGACCTTCAGTTTTGGGTAGAATGGTAAAATGGACAATCAAGTTGAGCGAGTACTCTTTGGTCTATGAGCCTCAGAGGGCAATCAAACCCCATGTTCTAGCAGATTTTATTAAGGAAAGCACTGGGGTCGAGGTCGAAGCAGGAGGAAAGTGGGAGAATCCAAAAGTAGTGCAAGATTGGTAATCGTGCTGATTTCACCAAAAGATGACAATTTGAAGTTTGTAGTAAAGTTGGGGTTTAAAGTATCGAACAACAAAGCTGAGTACGAGGCCTTGTTGAAAGGATTGCAGCTGGCACTGAAGGAGGAGCTAGAGGAGTCCAAGTTTATTTTGATTCACATCATGTGGTCAGTCAGTTGTAAGGAAGTTTCGAGGTGAAGGAGGATCGACTGCAAAAATATGTGGATGAGGTCGAAACATTGTAGAATGAATATAGCTCATTCGAGCTGATTCAGATCCCGAGAGATGAAAATGGCTGAGCTGACTTGTTGTAAAAAATAGCCCAAAGCCTGGTCGATTGCTAGAGTATGAGTGTTACTTTACTGAATATGGAGAAGAGTGCAGTTGATGTAGCGGAGATTGTCTAAGTCAAAGATTAAAGAGCTCCCATCTTGTAGAAGTTAAGAAAAGTGAACTTAAAGCACATCAAAGGTTTTTCGAGCAGCGTGAGATCCTTTACAAAAGGTCATATTCGGGGCCTCATTTGATGTGTATGACTGAAGAAGAAGAAGTAAAGTACGTTTTGAAGGAGGTTTAAAAAGGATGTTGTAATAACCACAGCAAGGTCGAAGTGTTGGTGGCCAAAATCTTGGGAGTTCAATACTTTTGGTCGACCTTGCGAGCAGATGCAGTAACAATGGTGAAAAAATGCTTGCAATGTCAAATACATGAACCACTCATCCATCAACCGGCGGAGATGATGACCACAATGAGCGTCCCAATCGTATTTGCTCAGTGGGGCATCAACCTGGTGGGACCTATGCCACAAGGTTTTGGTCAGAGGAAGTTCTTGGTCGTGGTTGTGGACTATTTCACGAAGTGGGTCAAGGCCAAGCCATTGGCCAAGATCACAGAAGATAAAGTGGTGCATTTTTTGTATTAACAATATTTGTTGGAGGTTTGGAGTGCCAAAAGTGTTGGTTTTAGACAATGAAACTCAATTTAATAGCAAGCGGATTCGAGCTTGGTGCGAGGATATGAAGATCAAGCAACATTTTGCCTCAGTATCTCATCCACAAACCAATGGGCAGGTCGACGTCACAAACATGATCATTCTAAATGGGTTAAAGGCTAGGCTGGAGAAGGCTTCGGGAACGTGGGTTGATGAGCTTGCTTTGGTCATATAGGACCACCCCGAGGTCGACAACAGACAACCTTGTTTAGTTTGACATAAGGCATGGAGGCGTTATTACACGTGGAGATCAAGCTGGACACTTACAATCAAAAGCAGAACGAAGAGTTAGTTTGAGCAACCTTAGACACTATTGAGGAGCTAATGGAGCAGGCGTCGACCAGAGTGGCAGTTTACAAATGAAAAAAAGGTCAAAGTTCGACGATTTCATGAGGGTGACCTTGTCTGGAAATGGATCGACGTCCTCAAGCATGTGGGCAAGCTCGAGTCATTTTCAATGATGTACGAATAACAACCATTTTTCCACACCAACATTTCCAAAACCGGTAGCGTGAGACGATTCAGACGTCGTAACCTATGATGTTCATTAATGTGATATTCCAATAACGAAATCGACAATTTTAGAGCTTGATTGTTTATGAAATAATTTGTTCAAAATGAGTTATTTTGGTTAACCATAGTTAAATTTGAAAAAGTAGTATAGTTAGGTGTTAGTGGAATTTTAAAAATATATTAAAATAATATTTAAAATAAATGTTTAAAATTGATTTGATATAAAAGTAAGAGATAAATGATTGGAAATGATTGAAAATAATATGTAGTTAAAAATATGTGAGCGGATGAATAGTGAATTAAAATTGATGTGATGTGTAAGAATGATTGGTTTGTATTACTTAATTATATGAATAATATTAAAGATAGTGGGGTTGAGTTAAAGTTAAGTTAAATTTTGAGTTGAAATAAAGGTGAGTAAATTAATCCATAAACAATCAAGTCCTTAGAAATTAGGGTTCTTGAGGATTGGAGATATGAGGATTTGGGGATTTAGGGCTTTTAATAGCATGTTTGGATATGAAAATTTTTGGTTTAGTTGGATTTTTTGGTTTGATTTGGTTAATTTTAAAAAATGTAGTATGATTAATTGTTAGTGGGTATATTAAAATAATATTTAAAATAAAATAATAAAAATTTGATGTGATTGTTAGTTAAAATAATGTGAGTGGATGAATAGTGAATTAAGGTTGATGTGATGTGTATAAATGATTGGTTGGTATTATTTTATTATATTGATAATATTGATGATAGTGGGGTTGAGTCAAAGTTGAGTTAAAAAAAGTAGTTGAGTTAAAATGTTGAAATTTTTTGTGAGAATTCTTGTATTCAAACATGCTCTTAAGCATTCTAAATTGATTTGATTTTGAGATGACGTGCAACCCGTTTTCTTATTTAATTTCTCTCCTAATGACACGTGGATTTTTTTTTCATTGAATTTAGGGTCGACAATTTTCAATAAGGGTGCCATTGGGGATTCCGGGCTTCACGTAGGCTTAAATGAGCCGTTACATCCCTATCACATGTGTGATTCCGACCCATTAATGAATTTTCTACGAGTTCAAGACGTGTTTGTAACCTTTTTTTTTTTGGAAAATTCGGTCCTATCCATGTGGGCACTGCCCACATGGGGTTTTTTACTATTGATTTACACATAACATGTGGGTGTGTGGGTGTTTATGTGTAAATCAATGGTAAAAAACCCCATGTGGGCAGTACCCACATGGGTAGGATCAAATTTGCCCCTTTTTTTCAATATAAATGATTAAATTCAAATTGGTTATTAGCATAAGACTAAAATAGCAAACATACAAAAAATGCAATTTTGTCTCACTAAAAGATATTGTTTTCAATTAAAAAGGGGGTGTCTATATGTACACCCCCTCAAGTGTAAAAAAAGGGTGTACATATAGTACTTTTCTTTGTGTAATTTATTAAAAAGGGGTGTACATATAGCATTGCCCTTAAAAAGACATCCTTAGTTCTTTCCACTTTAATTCGAAGTAAACATTTGTGGATGCTCCGACTGACGACGCTCCACTGGTGGCGTCAAGGACACGGAAGCCTAGAAACCCTGAAGCCGAGAGCCACCACGGGTAACGCCGTCGCGACTCGCCGCCGCAGCCGATCTCCGGCGATGGCCACTAACACCGGGAAACCTCTCTCCACCAGAGCCCCTGCCGTCGTCTCAACCTTTCCGTCTGCGGCGGATGAATCTTTCGATTTCTCCTCCGATTCGAAGGCGCCGAAGCTCCGTGTCTCCGAAGATCAGCTGCGTCACTGCTCAGAGGCTCTCGTGAGCTTCAAAGCCAAGAGGTTCGGTTCCCCTCAGACGATCCACCAGGAGTTCCAGATCTTGCAGGTACAGACAATGACTGTTGGCCGTGGATGTTAGCTTCGCCAGCTTTTCTACTTATGTTTCTTTCTTTATTTCATTTCATCTCTATGTGTATGAGAATTGAGAGGCAGATGATGTTGTGTAGGTTTGTTTTGTTATTGTTTTGATGTTTGGAAGTTTAGGGATAAACTTCTTGAATCTTCAGTGATTGAGGTGGAGATTTTAATTCGAGAGATTCTGTGTATGTTTTAAGCCTGCCAATGTACGGGTATCGGCGAAGTTCTTTGTTTGCTGATCAAATTGACATTTGGTAATTTTTAGAATCTGTAACTCGGTTCCTGTAGCTTGTCTGATCTCATTGCTGAACATACCAAAAATGCGTTTACTGTTGCCGCTCACTTTTGTTAGCATGTCCATACTTTCATTTCTGTATGCATTATACTCTTACAAATAACAGAGTTGCATTTGTTTTGTATTCCAGTGGTTTTGAGGTACTTCCTTTTTTTATTTTGAGTTGACTATAACGTGTGCAGTATGTTTGTAACCCTGATTTTTGAATCATTGGATGTATCTTGGGTAACTAGTTTCTGCTTGGAGTGATTTATATATGAAGCCCAGTTTCTACATTGTAGGCAAATAGGCTGACAGCTTCAGAGATGAGGAATAGATGTAACATGGCTCTTAATGGCGTAAATTACTCCAAGAACCGTTATACAGATGTTTTGCCATGTATGTTGATCGCCAGTAAAAACAGATCTGCACTTATACCTTTCTCACAATTGTAGTTTTATGTTTTGGTAATGTTGTTCATTAATTTCATTGCTGCAGTTGATGATAACAGGGTGATCTTGAAACAATGTGCGGATTACAGATCATCAGCTGGTGGATATATCAATGCAAGCTTGATCATGGTTAGAGTTTAACCTTCTCATTTTTACATACTACGTGAAGCAGATGTATATAATTCATATATGTACTCCACTCAGATCATTTTTTTTTTTCAATTGTAGACTTCTGAAAATGTGTCTTGGTTTATTGCGACTCAAGGTCCGCTTTCACACACTTCTGAGGATTTTTGGGAAATGATACTCCAGTATCGCTGCCCTGTAATAATTATGCTCACTCGCTTGATCGACAATTACCATGTAAGCAGTTAGAACCTTTTCGTTTCTTAGCAATAAATAAGAATTTGGTGGTGGTATGAAAAATCTAGTGCTCTACGGTTCTTAGTCATGTATGGTTTCAATTGCTAGTGTTTGTTCTCTCTCTACAGATAACGTCCACTGGTTTGGCTTCGTCTTGTTTGCTTAGGTTCCTTATTTGTTGGAAATTGGAATTAAGTCTTTCAACTTTCAAGGGCCATTACTTGTTTGTATAAGGTTATAATATTCTTTTCTAGATATGCTCTGAATTGATTCTAAATGCTCATGACTGGCATATTTCTTATGGAGCTGTGCAGACAGTGAAGTGCATAGATTATTTCCAAGCAGAGGATGGACCTAGAGGGTTTGGCAACACATGCATTTCCACAAAGTGGATACAAACACTGGACAACTCATTGATATTGCGATGCTTAGAAGTTAAACACAAAGAGGTGAGACTATTGTCTGAAATTTACGTCAACCACAATTGTCAAACACTTAAAAGGAGACATATTTGGATGTTCATATCGTAGATAAATTAATAGAACAATCATATAGATCACATTGCCTACTTAGAATGTTATGCAAGATTCAAGCAGATTGTTGGACAACTAGAGGTTTTTGCATTATATATTGAATATAAGCGATGTATCACTTTGATCTGCAAGGAAAATTTCCATTTTCTTCTCTAACGGTAAGTATTGGACCTTTCCTGAAAATATATGATGCAAGCATTTGCCTTTATTTGTAGTCAGAGGAACCCCCATTATCTGTTCTGCACGTTCAGTATCCTGAATGGCCTGATCATGGAGTTCCGAGAGACACTCTTGCTGTTCGTGAGATCTATAAGAGAATATCTAATGTCCCGCCCAGTCTCGGGCCTATTGTTGTTCACTGCAGGTTTGCCTTTTGATTGTGAGTTGAAGTAATCATAGAAAGTAATATTTATAGTCTGACCTTTTTTCTTTCACAGCGCTGGTATTGGTAGGACGGGAACATATTGCGTTATCCACAATACAATCCAGAGGGTTCTTATGGGTGACATGACTGCTTTGGACCTTGTTAATACCATAACCACTTTTAGGTCACAGCGTATAGGAATGGTGCAAACTATGGTACTGTATTCTTGATACTTTATAATTCTTAAACTACTTATTCTTTCTTTTAATATGGGGTTGCTGTATGATAAATCCTTGGGGATTTAGATCTCCAATTTCAAATTGTAATGAATTATTATATTTTGTCAGCATTCACTACTTAAGGTACGTTTTGAAAGTCGTTTAACATTTGACTGTATCTGAACATTGCGTCTTGCAGGAGCAGTACCTGTTCTGCTATGATGCAATTATCGATGAACTCGAGGACCTCACTGCAAATGGCAAGGCTCAGGGCAGTTTATGAGGACATTATTCTCCTTTTAATTATTAGTACATGAATGTAATTCATTCAAGTCTCCTTTTTACTAGAATTTGGGGAACACATTCTCTGGTTGAATAACGATTCTCTAGGACTGATACTTGAATTGTGTAAATTGATGGAAGTTCTCTTAAAAAATTGGAGTCTTTTGATGGCGATGATTGTTGATGTTCATGCCTTAATGACGAACTCGAAATTGTTGATCGTATTTACATCATGTAGTGTTCCCGAATGCAAGTACCTTCAGGATGTTCACTTACTATAGTGTGCTCACGAATTTTGCTCATCTAAAGTTGCGGTGAAATCAGCGGCTGCCTATAACTAAGTTTCAATTTTTGGTAATTCAATAAAGAAAGAAAAAACAAGATTTCACACATCGGTTTACAGCTTCTTTTGTAGTTGATGTAAACACAACTTCCTTGGCAATGAAGAAAGAAAAAACGAGAATTCACACATTGGTTTACTGCTGCTTTTGTAGTTGATGTAAACACAACTTCCTTGGCAATGAAATTTTCTGCCTACTCGGTAAAATGCCAAAAATACTAGTATTTCATTTTTCATAGTTTCAGTTAATTAACCAAGCCAGAGTTGGAATCAAATCATTATGAAAACTGTACAACTCCAAGAATAACTGTAGAAATCATCTTGTCAGATGGAGTAATTTTACTGCCTAATGAAACCTTAGTTATCCTTAACTCCTTTTTCTTTATACGATGAAACACAAAAATCATAACTAAAGAAATCGAAGGACAAGGCCAAAATATAACCAAAACAGACATTCATCGTGAAAAATCTGCTCGTGCAGAAGACACATACCCAGCTCACTCCTCTTTATATGAGCTGCTCTTGCACGATGCCTGAGCTCGGCCCTTTTCCACCGTACAATCAGATAACACAGTGAAAACAAAGTGTTCACCTATAGACAAAACAAAAGTGCCAATGAGGAGAGCAAACAATCAATTAATTAATAAATAGAAAAAAGGCAAATAAAAGAAAGGCAAATCACTAACAAGGATTAGAATTGCGATCACCAATAGCGGCCCAGACCATAGTACAGAGAGAAACAACCCGTTAGGGTCGAAATAGTTCTGGCCTGCAAAGCTTCTCCAGTTTCCGGCCAAGAACTGGTTAAGCAACTCTGCTAGATACACTCCTCCAACTGCACCATTAAACTGCATTAATTAAGATCAATTCACGCAATACAAGTGCAAACTTACATAGGTTTTTATTCACACCCTTTTTTCATAAAAAGCAAATACTCTAGAAAGAAAAGAGACCAAGCCAGCACAAACATACACATGGAGCAGCAACACAAGAAACTCAACTCCCGAGAAACAACACATTGCAATCAAATCTCACGAAGGAAAAAGTAATTTTACTTAAGTTCGGAGCTCCGACGAGAGCTGTTCAAGCAGATCTGCCATTTGATCCATATGGGCATTGAAAGCAGAATGAAGGAAACGAGACATATCAGCCAAGGTTCCTGCAGAATACGAAAAACAAAGATGAGGTACAAGAAAAATATTGTTTCTAATGTTTATCATGTAACTTCCCCATCAGGTTTTCATTCTCAATTCGACATTACATTGCACACACAATTTACGTTCAAATCAGTCTCCATACAGTGGATTCAAAAGCTGCAAAGTTAAAGGACATCCATACGGGCTCTAATTTCTTAAAATACAAGTAAAGATTACAATGGCAGCCAGATTAACTACAGAAACAGCACCTTTCTCCATCAACTCATCGTCCACGTGAAGTCGTAAACGCAGGCGATTACAATGTAAAAAAACACTCCACCATGCATTACATTGCAACCAAATCTCACGAAAGGGAAAAGCAAATGAGAGAACACAGACATATGAGTGAAATTAATTACGATTACCTTCCAATCAATGGCATGGAAGAAACCCATAAAGTTGGCGCAGAAGTTAATTACGAACCGATCAAAATATAGGAAAAAAAAAATGGTTCTTGCAGTGAGTTCAAAATCAGCTTAGTAACAAAGTTTTGACTGAATGCCTTTTTCCTTAGGCTCTTTTCCATTAAATAGAAATTTGTGTACAATCTATCTTAGGTAACCTGCTCATCTAGCTCCTAGTCTACCGCCCTATTTAATCCAAAAACATAACTCTGAATATTTACAATTAATGGTCAGCCATAAATTACTCTTTTACAATTAAAGGTCAGCCATAAGTTACTCCATAATTTCTGCCTTGTTATCCCCCCTCAAATTGATGCTGGATGGTCAAGAAGCATCAATTTGTCAACTAGGAACTGATGTCGATTCGAAGAAAGTGCTTTAGTAAACACATCTGCAGTTTGAAGAGTTGTGGGGATATGTGGAAGAGAGATGATAGAATCATCGTATGCTTCACGAATAGAATGACAATCTACCTCGATATGCTTAGTGCGTTCATGAAACACCGGATTAGCAGCTATTTGAATAGCACTAGTGTTATCAGCATGAAGCGGAGTAGGTTTAGTTTGGGTAAATCCAAGCTCACCTAGTAACCCACGAAGCCAAATTATTTCAGAGCACGCAGAGGACATAGCTCGATATTCAGACTCGGTAGATGACTTAGATACGCGATCTTGTTTCTTGCTTTTCCAAGAAACAAGAGAGTTACCAAGAAACATGCACCAACCAGTGACAGAACGTCGCGTATCAGCACACCCAGCCCAATCAGCATCACTGTATGCAACTAATTGTGTGGAAGAATTGGCTGGGAAGAAAAGACCACGAGTAGACGAGCCTTTTAGATACCGAATGATGCGACGGACAGCAGCCAAGTGAAGAGTGGTAGGTGCTTGCATAAACTGACTTACTTGTTGAACTGCAAAAGAAATATCTGGTCGAGTAATGGTCAGATAGTTTAGGCTCCCAACAAGTTGTCGATATAAAGAAGGATTTGGCAAAAAATCACCATCGTGACGTCGATATTTGACATTGACTTCCAATGGAGTTTCAACTGAACGACTTTGTTGAAGGCCAGCCAAAGCAACCAAATCTTGGATGTATTTATGCTGGTGTAGAAAAGTGCCAGTTGAGGTAGATTGCACTTCAAGACCTAAAAAATACTGTAAAGAACCCAAGTCTTTCATATGAAAAGCACTCTGAAGTCGGTCTTGAAGTTGGGAAATCAATTGAGTGTCTGTCCCTGTAATGACAATGTCATCAACATATACCAAGAGCATGACAATGCCCTTTGCAGTCTTGCAAAGAAACAAAGAGGAATCATAGCGACTCTGAACAAAAGAGAAGCTAAGAAGTGTAGATCGGAACTTATCAAACCAAGCACGAGGAGCCTGTTTTAATCCATAGAGTGAACGCTTAAGCTTACAAACATCAGAAGATGGTGAAGAAAATAATCCTGGTGGTGGAAGCATGTAAATATCTTCTTTAAGATCTCCATGTAGAAAAGCATTCTTAACATCCATTTGCCTTAACGACCAACCTTTAGAAGCAGCAATAGCTAGAACAAGCCTCACAGTTGTCATCTTCGCTACGGGAGCAAATGTCTCCTCATAGTCAACCCCATACTCCTGTCTGTTCCCAAGAGCTACCAATCGTGCTTTATGTCTGTCAAGCGTGCCATCAGATCGTAATTTAAGAGAATATACCCACTTACATCCGATAGGTTTAACACCAGTAGGACAAGAAACGATATCCCAAGTCTGATTCTCTTGAAGTGCTTGTAGTTCCTCTTCCATAGCCTTTATCCAGCATACTTGTGTTTTGGCCTGAGAGTAAGAGGTAGGTACGCTAGTATCAGCTAGAACGGCAGAAAAACCATACCGTTCAGGAGGGTGGCTGATGCGAGAAGATCTACGAAGAATAGCTGTAGATGGATCAGTATGTTGAACTTGTGTAGAAGAATGGCGTCGTTGGTAAACAATGCCAGGTTTAAAACGCTCAGTTGTTGCCTGTTGAACTTGATGGTTGTCATCAAAACTAGGAAGGATAACCCTGCTGGAAGGAGAGATGAGCTGTTGAAAATAAAACTCATTTTCAAAGAAAATGACATTGCGAGAAATCCGTATACGATGAGCTACAACATCATAGCACAAGAAACCTTTGTGAGCAGTACTATATCCCATAAAAGCACACCTAACAGATTGAGCTGCAAGTTTGTGACGCTCATGAGAAGGCAAATGAACAAAGCAAACGCAACCAAAAGTATGCAACTTAGAGTAATCAGGATGTATGCCAAACAAACGGTAGAAAGGTGAATCAAAAGTCAGTTGTTGAGAGGGCAATCGATTGATCAAATAGACTGCAGTAGACAAAGCTTCTACCCAAAATTTAGCCGGAACTGAAGATTGCAACAATAATGTTCTAACCATATCCAACAAGTGACGATTTTTCCGTTCAGCTACCCCATTTTGTTGGGGGGTATAAGGGCATGAACGCTGAGACATGATACCTTTTTGCTGCAAAAACGATTGGAACTCATGGGATGTGTATTCACCACCATTATCCGAGCGAAGTACCTTGATAGAAGTCGAAAATTGCCTCTCAACATAAGCCAGAAAAGTTTGGAAAGCATTCAACACCTCTGATTTTGTGCGCAGAAAATATATCCATGTGAAGCGACTATAGTCATCTATAAACGTCACAAAATATTTATACTGAGCGTGTGAAGTAACAGGTGTAATGCCCCAAACATCAGAATGTACTAGATCAAAACATCTATCTGCACGACTTCCATTAGTAGGAAAAGGTAAAATCTTACTCTTCCCTAGTTTGCAGGTAGAACAACCATTAGACAAACCAGAATTTAGACACTTATCCTTGGAACCAAGAAAACCTTGTTTCATTAAATGAGATAAAATTACATCATTTGGGTGGCCTAATCGTTTATGCCAACTTTCAGCCTTATTATCAACTACCATAGAAGTTAAACATAAAGCTTGTGGAGCAGTAAACTGCAATGGAAATAATCTTCCAACTTTAGGCCCCTTCGCTATCACCTTCCCCGACACTTGATCCTGCACAAGACAACCATTTCGAGAAAAATGCACTTCACAGTCATCATCCACCAATTGTCCAACAGAAATCAAGTTACTAGATAATTCAGGCGAGACAAACACATCACGAAAAGAAGGACCAATATCACCAATGGCCGTTATTGGAATGTTATTGCCATTAGCAACCTGAATATTTTGTGTGCCAGTATATTTCCGAAGGTTATTTAGAAGCTTAGGAGAACCAGTCATATGATTAGATGCTGCGGAATCAGAAAACCAGGTAGAAGAGACCATGTTACCTTGACCTTGGAGTCCAAGAGCAGAAAATGCAGTACAAATCATTTGTTGGACCATTTCTGGAGTCATAATGTGTTGATTTGTGATATTTGCTGCAGAACCAAGAACATGAGAACCTGAAACAGTAGCTTGAAAGGCTTGTGCTTTTCGATTTTCTGGCCTTGTTGGACACTCTTTAATGATGTGTCCATTTTGCTTGCAATAGTTGCAGAATTTCTTTGTACAGTTGCGAGCTATGTGTCCCATCTCTTTGCAACTGTAGCACTGAACGAAACCCTTTCCTCGATTCTTCCCTTGAGCAGCAAAAGCAACATTGAGAACCTGAGATGTTTCTTTTGACCCCCCCATGACAGCAAGAGTAGCCAATCGTTGTTCCTCACGAAGTAGTTCACCAAGACAAACATCTAATGTTGGTGCTGGACTTCGATTCAATAAACCTGCCCTGGCGCTCTCAAATTCTGGTCTCAGCTTCATCAAAAACTGATCACGCTTGCTCACTTCATGAACCTCTTGAAGGCTTGCCAAGGCCTCATTAGATACGCTGGAATAGAGAATATCAGAATATTCACTCCAAAGATTTATAAAACCAGAATAATACTGATCTATGGAAAGATTGCCTTGGCCAAAACTGTTGATGTCGAGTTCAAGTTGAAATCGCCGAGCAGCATTTTCTTGATTGTATACACGCTTCAAGAAATCCCACATCTGTTTAGCTGTACGAAATGATCGTAGGCTGTTGACCATATGACTTTCAATGGATGCTAGAATCCAAGAAATAATTTTGGCATCCTTACTCTCCCATTGACTGAGTTCCCTAGCTTCTTTAGGAGGAGGAGATGTTCCATCAATGTGATTCCAGAGTTCCTTTCCTTTCAGAAACATTCTAAACTGAAATTCCCAAGCACCATAGTTTTTCCCTGTAAATTTGAAACTCAAAGTCTCTACAGGCAGTTTTCCAACATGATCTGCAGCAGACATTCTAACTAGAAGAAAGCTTCTATCTTCTCCCAAAAAAAAATATTCAACCACTATGTGATTGACCCAAATTCCCCAACGAAGTTGTTAATCAAAATATTTGATCAACCAAAATCTCTGAAAATTTCCTAGATAAAAAAAAACAAAACAAAACAAAGTGGCTCTTATACCATAACAAAGTTTTGACTGAATGCCTTTTTCCTTAGGCTCTTTTCCATTAAATAGAAATTTGTGTACAATCTATCTTAGGTAACCTGCTCATCTAGCTCCTAGTCTACCGCCCTATTTAATCCAAAAACATAACTCTGAATATTTACAATTAATGGTCAGCCATAAATTACTCTTTTACAATTAAAGGTCAGCCATAAGTTACTCCATAATTTCTGACTTGTTACTTAGTATGTATTTCAATTAGAACTTTTTAACACTATTCAATTGAGATTCTATCATTTTAATATTATAAAATAATTATTCAACTCAAAATTAATATTATTCAATCAATTTTAATATTATTCAATTAACACACTTTAATATTATTCAATTAATATTATTTTACGTAAAATAATTATTCAACTCAAATTTAATATTATTCAACTAACACTCTATAACATTATTCATATAATTTTAAGTATCTATCATTTTCAATAATTTATCTTCCACTTTTACGCAAAATTAATTTTTTTTATTTTATTCTAAAAATTATTTTGATACATTCTTAAAATTCCACTAACAACTAATCATCTCATCTTTTTTTTTTTTTAAAGTAATTCTAGTTAGCCAAAATAACTCATTTTGAATAGATTATTTGGTAAACAAGCATGCCCGTAAGATTGTATATATATTGAACTCAAAATTTAACTCAACTTCAATATCCTCAATATTATCAATATAATTAAAAAATTATATTCCCCTGCCCACGGTGGGCATACCCACTAGTTTGTGTTATATGAAACACGTATTTTGAGAATACGTTTTTCAATTAAATTTAATTGAAAAACGTATTCTCAGAATACGTTTTTCATATAAAACAAACTAGTGGGCACTGCCCACCGTGGGCAGGTGAGTGGGACTGTATAATTAAATAATAACACTCAATCATTCTTACAATCACATTTGCTTTAATTCACTATGCATCCACTTACATAATTTTAACTAATCATCACTTCATATCATATATCTCTTACATTTACATCAAATAAACTTTAACTATTTTATTTTAAATATTATTTTAATAAAAAATCACAATCCTACTAATAACTAATCATACAATCTTTTCCCAAATTAACTCAAATTAACCAAGAAAATCCACTTTAAGTGAAAATTTTTGTATCCAAACACGCTCTTAGAATTTATCCTCTCAAAAATCAAAACAATACAAAAGAAAAAAAAAAAACGATAAATCCAAACCCTTTGTATTAATGTCACAATACATTAACTTTCTCTGTATTCAATTAAAGATTACGTTATTCAATTTGAGGACTTAGGCTTCCGTTTCTAGTTAATGTATTTAAAGCTCTTGTTGCAATAACATCCCACATAATTCCAACAAAATCCAACAACACTCCCATCCAATAAACCATTATCATCACATATTATTCAGATTTTCCAGAAGAAGAGGAGATGGTTTCGAAAGTAGCTTCTTTTCTTTGCGTTCTCTTGGTGACGTTTCTTGTCGTGCCCTCAAAAGCTTTCAAAGCGAGGGAACTTTCTATAAGGCCCGACGATTGTAAGTATTTTGCCTTTTCTTATACCGCGTATCCCATTTTCTATATTTCTAGTTATACTTTTCCCAAAGACATACTTTCAAACTGAAATATAATTCTCTGTAATGATAATATATAAGAGTAACACTTCATAGCATAATACGTATTTTTACCATAAAATATGACGAGTCAACATGCCTAACATTTGTTGTGTAAGATAAATGTGGCCAAGATTATGTCTACGACGAGTGTTGCTATAGATACAAGGATTATTGCTATTCCTGTTGCTATGAACAAGGAACTCCCCCTCCTGCACATGGTACACCACAGAAGCTGATCAATAAACCATAATAAAAATTAAAAGCTATACATAAATATCCTCTTGTGATGTCATTATGTTATAATAAAAGGTATGCAACGACTTTCAACTCCGTGCTTTCTTGATTTTTGCTGCCGATGAGATATTTTTTAGTCGTAGCATATTTGCTAAAAACAAAAACAATTTAGAAACTCATTACAGACTTCAAAATTCCTCTCTTACACCCTGATATAGTGATATCTGTTATCTGTGTCAATTCAAGTCGAGGAATACAGAAAGTTGAAATTTTTTTGTTACGATTATGTCTCCACAGAGCCGAGTTCTGACCAAGACGATACAAAATTCATGAATATGTATCCTTCAATACAAGTTAAAGATATTTCACTTGTGGAATGAAATTCTAACCGTAGTATCATATCCCCTGTTGTTAGTAACGTTATGAGTCGAGATCTAATGTTTCAATCAGAACCAATATCCACTCCTTTGCTCTTTAGAAATCCCTTGGCTTCAGCAATATCCTACAGCAGAAATACCGAAACATCTATAAATGTATACGAACAGACAGAGCACCAAAAGAGAGCTTAATAAGTTGTACAAATTTGAATTCAAAAAA